TTTATTAAATGTAGATTTTCTTTCGATTTGAATATCGATGAATTGCTCTGTAGCTTTTTCTGTAGTTGCTCACTACTAATCGAATGTCAAATATTACCACGAGTAACCAATAAATTAGGTTTCCCAATACCGAGCCTACCATTCTTTTTAATTGAAAACTGTAAACTTGCACAACCATCAGCAAAAATAAAATTGGTTTCTTGTGTTTTTTTTTTGAGCAAACCATTTTGTTTCCACGCTTCTTTATGCATTTTAGTGGCGTTGTCTTGTTCTTGTTTGGCTTTTGAGTTCGTTCTTTAGCTGATTTTCACTTTGCTGTATAATCAATAGACCTTCCAAAAAGAATTTTTTGTGAAATTTATTTCCTTTTTTTACTCACATGTGGAAATTATTGAAGAAAAATGAATCGAAAATAGGAAAATATAGAACGACTACGAGGTCGGCACGCATCCAATTTTAGCCAGGTTGCGTGACATTTACAAAAGTTAACTTTCTTCGATCTTCATGTTGATACCAGCGACTTTTCAGCTACTCGCCGAGGAATGCACAATTCAAACTATTCAGAAACATTTTCATTTACACTCCTTTGTCCGTGGAACTGGATGCAAATGAGAAGTTTTGATGTTTATGAAGGGATCTGCGAGTTGATTCCTCTTTTCATTTTCCGTTTAATTTCAAAAGAAAAGTGTTTGATTTAGTTACTGCACTGAATCCAACGCCGGATAGTCGGCGGCAAAGCTCAAGTGGACAGCATGAGAAATAATAAACTGCTTAAGAAACAGTAAAAGACTCATAAAATGTGCCGCATCTGTTAAATAGCATGATTTAAACAAACAAGTTATCATTTATATAGTTCACCGGTCAACTCACTATAATGATTAATCAGTTATAAGAAAACTACAAGATATTCAAGTTTTACACTTTCACGAAATGTTATACCAAGTCTGATTTGAATCCACGATAAAATCGGAAACTCTATCAAAGCCTGTCAACACCATTTCTACAGCGCTTTCTCGTTTCAATGAATTGTTATCTCGAAATGATAAAATGTCAATTTATTTGAAATTTGACATTTTGGAATCATATCTTGTCAACACACGGAACACCAGATTGAACGTTAGAAAAAAATAAGGGTTTTGATCTCGATAATTCCATATTGAGTTTGAAAAAGCATTTGCATGATTTATTTTCCTCAATATCAGCGAGTTTCAAAAACGACGAGTCGCAATACGTCAGTCGTGGAAGAAAAAAAGGAAAAACATTGCACGAACAATATGAATGCAATTTGACTGAGAGAAAATGAAACATATGCTGTTGTTATTCACTTTTTGACCATTCTGATTAGCTTTTGCTTCATCATCACTTTAGATATCTATAAAAAAACGCCCAGATGGGTACAGTCTCAATATAGTCGTAGGAGTTACAGAAGATTCTACTATAAAAGAATCTTGCTTTTTACAAAATACTCACCAATTGTTTGCACCTGCTAATTGTTTCGTATCAACTTCCTAAATCATCAACAATGAAAGCTGCTCTTGCTATCGTTTTCTTTGCCTGTATCGCTGGCTCCATGGCCAACCCACTTGCCGGAGCTGTTCAACAACTCCTTGGACAAGGTCAAGGTGTTTTACAAGCTATCGTCGGCCAACTCCAACAATCACTCATGGGTTTAGTTCAACAAGCTCTTGGTAACGTACAAACACTCATTGGTACAATTGGTGCCCGATTCGACTTCACAGCTCTCCTCGGTAACTTCCAAGAAATCGTCAACCTTGCAACCACTGCTCTTAATGGAAACCTCTCTGGTTTACTCCAAGGACTTCTTGGTTTAGGTATGTATACATATTTGTTTTTGTTCGCTGTCAACAATCATAACAAACTGTTGTTATTATTAGGTCGTGCTGACTTTAACTTTGGTCAAATCATCCAACAATTCATTGACTCCGTTAAACCAGCCGTCATTGGATTAGGTCAACATGCATTGAACCAAGGTTTATCCGCTGTTCTCGGTGCTCTTGGAAGCCTTGCCCCAACATCACGTGCTATTGGTGATATCTTCGGAAGTAAGTCGAAAGATGAAATATCAGACAACATTCTTATTTTTTCATTCTATTGAAGGCCTCTCCGAACAATTCTCCACTTTGGTTGGTAATGCTCAAACAGCCCTCCAAGGTGCTCTTGGTCAACTTGCTGCTATTGGTTCAGGTATTCTCGATGCCTCAAAACCACACTTCCAACAACTCCAAGAACAACTTGTTGGTCATGGACTCAACGCTCTCGGATCACTCTCCGAAACCATCAACAACCTTCACGGTTCAATCGTCGGTCGTCGTTAAGCTCTGATGAGAGTGATGCTTTAAAATTTTTGAATGAAATAAAATATTATGTTTGAAATAACATAATAAAAAACACCTTCAACTCTAACATGAAAATAAGAGCAGAAAGAAAGCACCTATATATGTTTTTGAAACTCGATCAAGGATGTGAATGCAAACTAAAAGAAAAGAAATCATAAAATGTGAAAAGCACACGTAAGGCAAGATTGATACTGTGTGACGGAAATTAATTCATTGAGTTATCGAAAGTCTTACAAATTTCAAAATATTATGCATTTTGATAAACAAACATATCTGTAAGACCTCCATAAATATTTTGCATTGCAATGCGCGTGAATATATTCACACATTTAGAGAAAATCATATCGTTCGAGCACGGCAATTATAGATCGCTCTTGCGTGCATTGCATATTTGAGGAACATGTAAACTATTACGAGTAGTTTGATAATTCAATTTGTTTTTCTTTCAAAAATCGAAGTAAATGAAATTTAATATAGTTGTCTGAATCAATATCACAAATACTCAAGATAACCTAAAATGCGTTAGACTTATGTTGTTTTATTTTCGTCGCATTACAAAATCGATCGTGGCAAAAGCATTTCAAGTAATCGTCATTTTGTCTTAATTTATTATCTCATTTTTATAAGAACCAATACAGTGAACAATCAAAACTACGTAGAATGATAAACTTGAGAGTGAAAGATATGCGAAAAATCATCAGTATTATTTAATCGGTTTTAATCAGTGGGCGTTTCCAGTGAGACCAACCCAGTGAAAATTTGCCTACTGACAGCTCCTATATCGAAGCGTTAATCCTCAGAAAAGAAAATTTTTGTTTCAATATTTTGATTTTGTTTTAGGGAATTATATTTGTGAATATAACAGCGATTAATTATTTATGCTATGTGGCTAATTTATCGAACAAGAAAAAGCATCAATGAAATACACTTTCAACAGAAAATTATCATTGAATCATAATTTCTATAAATGAATTATCAAGTTGATTAAACACTTTCATGAGTCGATATGATTAGAAATAATTATGCAACATTCGAACATCTTATCTAAGTAATCTTAAGCATTACGGTTTTCATCATGACGAATCATACGATTAATTAAAAAGACTAAATAACATGTTAAAGCTATATTTCATCTACAGTAAAAATTAACTTGTAGTCCTTTCTGAATGATTTGTTACTCACGCCTATTAAGAAGCTATTTTCTTCGGTTGTTTTTATCGTTGAAATAATATTTTAATGAAAGATTAATATTGCAATCATTATCCTTTTCTGCTTTCGTACATACATATATCAAAATTATATGCTTAGGGAATTATTTACATGTTGATGTTTAATGGGAAAGAGACATTTCGCACTAACTTTTCATTACGCTTTTCCGACATAGAAAAACATACATGCTCTTCGGAATGACAAAAATTTTAAACAACCAGGGTGTTCGGAATGAAAGTTGTTCAGTGGACTGTGACGGACAGCAGTATTTTTGAAAAACAAAAAACTGAAATTTGCGAGGCGTTCGGGATGAAAATGACCGGAAGATCGTAATGAAAAGAGGCAGGATGTTCGTAACTATGTTCATGTGTACACTTTTTTGAGAGATTTCAAATGACTCAGCAGCTGGTATTTAAAGATAATAAACAGAACAACGTTCCGGTGAACACAATAAATCTTTTTCAACATAGAAAAAGAATTTGGAGAGAAACAGAGAAAGACACAAGAAATAGCATAAACAATCGAACAAAGAACACGAAACAGAGAACAAAATCATAAAAAAAGGGTGTGGGTGTGAGTGTAGTCACAAATAGTCAAACTCACACCCTGAGTTTACGGACATCCCGCCATTTTCGTCCCGATTTCCTGACAGTATTTTACATATTGTCGACCATTTCATTCCGATTTCCCTGTGCTTTTTTATTTAATTACGATATCATGGCCAACATGTGTTACGTACTCCCGGTAAATATTTTTAAAGGCAAAAATCAATTCCGAACACCTCAACGAATTACCGGGTGTCCGGGACACTGGTACGAAATGTCTCCGTCCCTGTTTAATTCATCATTATATCCTCGATTTATTTCAACGATTATGTGATTGAAGATACTATATGTGAAAGAAGACATAGATATGCAAATATTCGCATACAAAATCGATCTATAATCAGGCAACTAAAGTTAATTGAGTTTCAAATCGAATTTCTCTAACAAACTGTTTTTCGATATCTACAATTAATGATTTTTTAGTAGATTATTTCAATAACAACTCTAACTTTGCCCAGTCATGAAAATATCGTTTGATTCAATTAATGTTAAACAAGAATATAAGAATACAAAATTTTCCTGCCGTTTCAATAATCGCTACATTCTTTTTTACGATTAATAATCAATGAAGTTTTTCAGAAAAAACCCGAAACGATTAGAAATGGTTTGAAACTAACTCATTTTCTTCTCGTATTTAGGTTACTTAAAGCAACAAGCTCACGGATAAATAGGGTAGCAATTGTTTTTAAACTTTACTCTGACTCACCAAACAAAATAAAATGTTTTTTGAATAGCGGATATACTATTAGGAAATCAACATTAAAATTATCATCGCGAAAGGTTCAAGATTATTGAAAAGGAAATAATGTAGAAATTGTTTTAATGATGATCAAGAAGTTTGTTTTCTATTTAGTTTCTGAAGAATATCAAAAAGACATTGACAAATATATTGGCATCTTTGCGAGTTATTATTCATTGTTGATAAGATTTCATGAAGACTAGTTAAGATTTCGATAACAAATACTTGGTCATTTGAATAATTTTGATGAAGATATTCAAGAATAAATTCTGAACTATGAACAATATCAATTAAATATTGATATTGAAGAAAATTATTCGGATTTAATAATTGACGTGAACACTTTTCTGTTATGATATTTCGAACTATATGAAAAATTTCTGATGAGTCACGAAGAAATGAGGCAAGATCAGTTGATGATTGTCGATTTGGATTCGCATTGACTAGGTCAACTTCATTTTGAATTAATTCAGAAAGAATTTCACCAATGGTCGAAGAGTTAATCGATTCGAAATCTAAAATATATTACATATATTTATTTCTAAATAAAAATGTTTTCTTCCTTTAGTTAAAATTCTGAGCAACCGGGCTAGTAGAGATGATGCATAATTCTGATTAGATGAAGATGAGAGCAAATTGTAGTCATTATGATCTAATTTTAGCTTGCTTTTAACAGATATTACCCGTATAATCAATATCAATAGTAACAATGGTGAACCCATAGAATAGTTAGATTTACAATAATGAATAATAAACGATTAGAATTTTGATTTCACTTTTCAACCTTTCTACTGCCAACCGTTTTTCTCGAGAGACATAATCAGTCAACAAATAGCTCATTAAAAATAATTGAATTGATTTAAATATCTTGGGAAAGAGATTTTTATTTTTATTGAACTGTTCGAACGATTATTAATCACAGTAAAATCTACTCACAAGTAAAATGTGATTTGTTTACCTGATTGTTGAAGATTGTTGATTAACATTTGTATCGTGTCGTGCTGATTTCTAATATTATTGAAAGTCATATCGTCGGATACTGTATATATACAAATAAATGGGTACGAGTTATTTTCTGAACTTCTCAGTTCAAAAAATAAATGAAGGCTGATTTTCTTACATTTTCTTTCGAGATGATTATCATCGTCATCATGAAATAATAATGAATTAGCACTTTTATTTCTTCGTAAAGATCTATGATCACTTCTATAATCATTTAATGTTTGCACTTTATATTGATTATTATCATTACTATTGTCTGAGTCACTATCATCGGATGGCGGACGAATCGTTGATTTAGCTAAACATAAAAACAAATTTCAGTCGTTTTACTCACCACTGAAATCAATGGCAAATATATAAACATCCGTCGAAACTTACGTGTTTGTGATGGTCTAATAAACACATACCTAAATCATAAAAGAAGATAATTATCAAAAAACGTCTTGATCAGCTGTACCATAGAATAAATCCAAGAATAACAACACTAATAACAAAAATAAATGCATAGAAACCATAATGAGATTGCTCATGCTGAACGATGATTGGTACAGGATTATGTGTTGTAGCTAAAACAACAACGAATCTGTGTTATTCAGCATCTTAATCGAACGATTCTTCTATGTTTTTAAAACATTTTTCGTCAAAGAAATAGATTATTCTTTTATTATAAGTCACTATTGGAACGTACATTCATGAACAATCAAATTCGATGAGGTTTTAATTGTTGTTATCAATATTTGCATGCTTCTATGTATTGGTGTCCTTCGTTTTCCTTTTCTATTTTGCTTCCAGTCATAGTTACGAGTTCTATTCGATTGTAAGAGCACTTCTGAATCACACATAGACGATACATCATATGAATAACATGGATTTATATTTGTTGTTGGCCGAATATGCATTCGAACGAATGATCTACGAACTATGACTGTAAATTTTCCACGAGTATCTATTTCGTAAACTTTAGCTAATTCATTTGTATACTGTTCGTTGGGTTTAGAATTGAAATATTTATTTTCTTCGGAAGTTTTCATGTCTGCCATGTCATTATTTGCATTCGTTTGAATAAATTTTCTACTAGGAAAATAGAATTTTCTCTTCATTTAAATATCTAGACAATATGACTGTGGTAACTATGAAACTTTAATTAAGACATATTTAATGTGAATAAATGAGATTATTTAAAAAAAAAAATACAAATTTAATTTTGTGCTTCTGCACAGTCTGTGTCTGTGTCACTGAATGGATCGGTACGAAACGTTAAAGTGCATTGTTCTGTTCGAAGTCGTTTGGCATTTCTAGCTAAATTTTGTGCCCATTCATCGCAAGCGGCTCTTTTGAAAGAGTATTCTTGAACTTTCAAAGCAGCATATTCAGATAAATCATGAGTTAAATGAGTCAAAACGTCTTGTTCATGATCAAAAATTCCACCGCGTAATATACAGTCATAATTTTGACCCCATTCAGAGTAAGCACTCACGTCAAGACAAAAAATATAAACTACAGGTGATAATGATTGTTCATATCGATCGATATCTGGAACAACAGTTTTTGCCAGTGAACCTTGAATAATACAAAAAAGCTTTCGATTCTTAACTGACTGCAAAAACGAACGACATTGATCAACAGTAGAAAATGAATACAGGTTAGTTGTGTTCGATTCGAACTCTTGTTTTAGTTGAGTACAGACACCAGGTAGACCAATATGTTTATCAAGCCAAAATAAAGCTACGCCACTTCCCACAATTTTCTCTACAGCATCCATGACAGACGTTTAAAGAAAAAACAACTCGAACCAGTGTTCCGAATGAGAATTCGAATTATGGTGAGATCTCGCACTCTTTTTCAGCAGGTAAAGTGAGATGTTGCACTCCGTTTCAACAGCCAAAGTGCAGCAAAGTGAAAATATATAAATGTATCTAGAAAAAAAGAAATAATAGTTTATATTTCATACTCTAGGCTTTTATGTACATGTATACATATAAATAATAATCAAAACCCATATGTAAATCATTATTTAGTCACAAGATTAACAAAAACCTAAATCAGTTATGAGGATTATCTGTACATCTGGATATCCATCCAATCGGATGCACCCGGATAAATGGACCTTTCACTGTTTGTTGAATAACTCCTTCATTTTTTTCCCGTATGCTTGAATTTTTCGCCAAAGAAGNCGGAGAGGCCTTCAATAGAATGAAAAAATAAGAATGTTGTCTGATATTTCATCTTTCGACTTACTTCCGAAGATATCACCAATAGCACGTGATGTTGGGGCAAGGCTTCCAAGAGCACCGAGAACAGCGGATAAACCTTGGTTCAATGCATGTTGACCTAATCCAACGATGGCTGGTTTAACGGAGTCAATGAATTGTTGGAAGATTTGACCAATGTTAAATTCAGCACGACCAACTAATAACAACAACAAAAGTCAGTTATGATTTTCGATAGTGAATAAAAAACAAAAAGAAGTCGATACATACTCATACCGATGACTGATGTGGCTAAGCCAAGGAGGTTTCCACTAAGAAGACTGGTTGCAGCACCGATGATGTTTTGAAGGTTGTCGGTGATAAAGCTGAAGTCGAATCGACCACCGAGTGTACCAATGAGTGTTTGAACGTTACCGAGAGCTTGTTGAACTAAATTCATGAGTGATCCTTGGAGGTTACCGACGATAGCTTGAATAACACCTTGGCTTTGTCCAAGGAGTTGTTGAATAGTTTCAGCGAGTGGATTCGCCATTGAGCCGGCGATACAGGCAAAGAAAACGATAGCAAGAGCAGCTTTCATTGTAATTGATTGGATTAGGAAACGAGTTGGAGATCGAAATGTGATGAGAATGAATGAATATACACAGTAAAATACTTGTCTTTATATACTTTTCTTGCCAAAGCAGCCTGTCTGTTTTATGGGATGAAATTATTAAATATCCGATGAGAACTTGAGCATACGTTGGCATTTGCTGATGGCAATGGCAGTTTCATTCAGATCCAAGCCTGTTTTACTGTGTACTATGATGAAACACCTACGTAGTTATTTTAGTAATAATGCTCCTATAGTAAAACAAAAAATTTATCTGCGCATGTAAATATTCTTGTTTTTCTCTGCTGATGAGAAAAGCACCAGAAGTTTACAAGGTTAACATTGCTTTTTGTATTCAAGTAAACTTAAAAATGAAGAGAAATGTTTAAAGTTGTACTTTTGTTAAAAGGATGTCAATTCAAAATAGTTTCAAAATTGTATATTATGAATGTTGCTGTAGCATGCTGAAAGATTTATTTAGGTGTGTACTTTCCGAGTCGGACGATATGAATACTACGTTTTGTTTTCTAGATTTTTAGCTGATAGCATGCAAATGAAAAAGAAACAAGTTGTATCGATGCACAAATCACAGTGCCGTTTAATGCAACAATTATTAACTCTAAAAGTTCATTTCAGGATAAGCAAAGTTGCTCGTTGAACTGAATAGGATATAAGAAAAAGTGATGGTTCTACTAAAAAAGAAAGTCTTTTATTTTCTGTTAATCTATGATTATAGGTCAGATAATGTCTTTTGTTTTATAGGCAACTTTGTTTACGAAACTTTTCTGTAGTCAGAAATCAATAAACGGGAAAACTCTCGTTATTACTAATAGAACAAGAGTAGAGTAATTAGTCAATTTATATGAACACGCCAGATTGAATATTATGAACTCTCATGTCTTTTAAAAAACGAACAGCTTTTATGAACACTCAACAAAGCTGCTGTAAATCAACAGAATTGCATTTAAACTAATTTAGCAGATATCCGCTTTAGTTAATCGAAATCTAGAAAACTTAGCAACCGAATCCCGATTTGAAATAAGTTCTAAATTGTAAACTACATTGAAGTCTAACGCCATTTTCAGATATTTTGTGAATATAACTAGTTTAAAAATAATTTTCTCGTGTATAATATTTGATGAAAGAATGTTCAGGCTTTTGCATTCTTTCGCTTTTCATAAAATTATGCTACTAGTTAGCATCGTTGCCACTGTATTGAGTTCTTCTGTTGCGAACACTACTGTGATATACTATTACGGTCGATGCAATTTGTAGAGTTGACTTTACTTTCAAATATGGGATGATTTCAGTAGATGAATTGTGTTTTTGAGTTTCTTATACAACGACAGCACGTGTTGCTCTTGAAAAATGATATTACGATCAGATACTTCTATTGTGACTATTGGAATACGGTATAGTCGTAAAGGACTATCGATAAATTAAAGCGAACACTTTTAACAGATGGATCTTTTTAATACGCAAAGCATTCGAATAAGTCAGATACGTATTTCATTTTGCTGTTAATTTTATTATATAACACAGATGTAAAGTACGACATATATGTGATTAGGTTTTAGTGAGATAATTTCCTTCGAGTCCAGTTAAGAGTTCATGAATAAGAAAATTATGAAATATATGCAAACAAAAGAAAAAAATCAACAATATTGGATTAACAAAGTACAACAGAAAATGGGATAAAGATTTATATATCGTGCGAATATTAAAAATAACTTCATGTTTATCAGAAAAACATTGATTACGATGACTGTGACAACCCATCTATCCATGCAGACCTAAAGTGAAATGAATGCATATGCAAAACTAGATCGTAACCATTTAAATATGCGTGAAAAAATCATCCTATTAAAATTTATATTTATCTTTAATTCGATATGAATTATTTTTCAAGGTTAATTTTAGTAATTACTTATGCTATGAATATAGCTTCTATAATATCTATACATATCGCTGTTTTTAAAAATCTAGATTCCTCTGAATAAAATATAGGACTTTGTCACACAAACCATTGCGATTTTATTACATTCAATCACTATAGCATCGCGCACTAGACAATATTGATCGTTTGCTATATTTTGAATTGTTGATTCCTTAAAAAAAACATTCATGGATTGATTGAAATATAATCTATAACGGATATTGAAGTCACTAACATTAGACATTTCGATATTATACGGCATTTCTGATATTTTGTCGAAACTCCATGAATTATCAAACTCAACAGATCATCTTAATATGCCGAAAACAGCATTTCCATTGATAGACTAACTGGTACTATCAAATTAGGCCAACATAATCAAAGCGAAAAAACTTATTTACTTAAATCATCAACTATCGAGGATATTCCATAAGAGAATCGACCTCTTCCAACTAGTTAGAAAGATTTAGTAATAGATCATTCAAAGCAATTAGCTATTTTTTGTGCTTTATCATGCACAAATATTTATTAGATAAATCATTCATAGGGGATTAAATTCTAAGACGATGTTTAACGACGACCGACGATTGAACCGTGAAGGTTGTTGATGGTTTCGGAGAGTGATCCGAGAGCGTTAAGTCCATGACCAACAAGTTGTTCTTGGAGTTGTTGGAAGTGTGGTTTTGAGGCATCAAGAATACCTGAACCAATAGCAGCAAGTTGACCAAGAGCACCTTGGAGGGCTGTTTGAGCATTACCAACCAAATTGGAGAATTGTTCGGAGAGGCCTTCAATAGAATGAAAAAATAAGAATGTTGTCTGATATTTCATCTTTCGACTTACTTCCGAAGATATCACCAATAGCACGTGATGTTGGGGCAAGGCTTCCAAGAGCACCGAGAACAGCGGATAAACCTTGGTTCAATGCATGTTGACCTAATCCAATGACGGCTGGTTTAACGGAGTCAATGAATTGTTGGATGATTTGACCAAAGTTAAAGTCAGCACGACCTAATAATAACAACAGTTTGTTATGATTTTTGACAGCGAACGAAAACAAATATGTATACATACCTAAACCAAGAAGTCCTTGGAGTAAACCAGAGAGGTTTCCATTAAGAGCAGTGGTTGCAAGGTTGACGATTTCTTGGAAGTTACCGAGGAGAGCTGTGAAGTCGAATCGGGCACCAATTGTACCAATGAGTGTTTGTACGTTACCAAGAGCTTGTTGAACTAAACCCATGAGTGATTGTTGGAGTTGGCCGACGATAGCTTGTAAAACACCTTGACCTTGTCCAAGGAGTTGTTGAACAGCTCCGGCAAGTGGGTTGGCCATGGAGCCAGCGATACAGGCAAAGAAAACGATAGCAAGAGCAGCTTTCATTGTTGATGATTGGATTCGAATACGAACTGGAAATGGATATGTGATGAGAATGAATGAATATACACAGTAGAATACTTGTCTTTATATACTTTTTTTGCCAAAGCAGCCAATCTATTTTATGGGATGCAGTAGCAATCGCGTGATGAGAACGCGAACATGTGATAGTATTTGCTGATTTGATTGGTTACCAAAGTGTCTTTTGGATAGTTCTGATTGCTTTTTCATCAGACACCTACGAACCCGTTTTTCATTCGTGGAACTAGTTATAAAAGCTTATTCAAGCAATCAAATAGTCTTGTAGTATGTTGTTGAGAACAAAAACACATGCTTATAGTTCGTTCGTTTTACTATATTGTATAATACAAAAATGAGAAGATATGACTTATAAGCTGCTTTTTATTTTTAAAGCTTTTCAGAATTGAAACATTTGAATTTTAGTTAGTAATCTTCAAAAAATAAGAGAATATCTTTACTAATTCATATCATTCCAGTAGCATTTTCTTCTCGTCGCAATTTTCAGATATGTAGCTATGATAGTTTGAAGCTACGAAGGGATCATCAAAAAGCATAATTTCGCACTGTTTTTTCTTCATGTTACTATAAGTATCAACAGAAAATTCTGGGAAATGATAATATTAAATGCAATGCTACTTCTATTAATTCAAAAATTTAACTTTATAATGAATACATTTCATTCTTTGATACCAGCCAATAATGGTATCACATGATATACTTATGAAGGTTCAAAATTCACAACAATGACACTCTAAGACTTGGATAGTTTGAAAAGGAAATACGATTGCTCATTGAATCATTATTGTTAGTCTCATCTAATATGATTTTTTTTAGTTTTCCTTCGAATATTTTTCTGAAATCTCCGAAAACATTTGATTATTATTGATTGAGAAAAAGAAATCATTTTTTTCGAGTATTTGCCAGGAAAGCGACTTGCAAATCAATTCACAGGCTTATAACTGCAGAATGATAAAATAGAAAGACTTAAGAGTTTTCGTATCGTATTGTAGATTTTCACTCGAGGGTTTTAATACGCATCCGATACTCAGAAATTCAATACAATCAACTCGCAGGACTATATTCATTGCTAACCAGATCGATTTCCTTTTAAAACGACACAAAAAACCCTATCTCTATCTTGTTCCTGTCAAAATTTAGTAATAAAAATATTCATTCACTTTTGTTTTCAAATAATAAAGAGTGTTTCTAGATAAACACGAAATGCAAACATATTTAATGATCAGAAATCAAAAATCAGTATAACAATACATCTTTTTTTTTTGATATTTTAATCTGTTGTACTGCCTTCGTTATGCAACATTTTAAAGAAATTCAAAATTGAATAAAAAAATTATTTTTATATATATTTACAAGAATAAATGAATCAATTAGACACAGATCATAAAAGAAATTACAGTACATGTTTACTGCTTTCTTTCAACGCTTTTTCTTCTTTCTACTTATTCGCACATGTGTAAGGATCATATGTATGTGATCAAAAGAAAAAGAAGTAGAATACAAAATCGATTTTAAATAGTAAAAAAATTTCCATAATGATTAGTCAGAAAATAATGAAAAAAATGATACTTAAAATGTAGAACTCTTGTATGCGATAAGCCAGAATCAAATATTGAGTGTCGACAAATATTAGCTAGAAAGAAAAATAAACTGATTATAGAATATTTCTATATATCATAATAGTCTTATGAGTCTACATAAACAGCTATTGGAACCATGTTGAAGAGTATTTCAATTATCGTATATGCTTACGATATTCAATAGGAAAATCGTAACCAGTATGGTTGCCTCGTTTATTCGAAATTTCTCCAGTCAGTTAGTTGTTTGAGAAGAAATTATCGCTGGATAAAAGGTAGTCGTTAATATTTCAGTCGGCGTTTATTTTAATCAGACATCACGCAATCTGTATTTTACTTAAACTTGCCAAATCGCTATTAAATTTCTGCAGAATTCCTCTGCTACTAATAATTTTGCTTCAATAGTCTCGTGTTGAAGAGAATAAATCGAAAACAAAACATTTCTATTCAGTTTCAGGCTCTCCTTCAAAAATTTACTCCTCTCACGCTTTCAAAGACACAACATATATTAGGCGCACAAATGAACGCCATTATCGAAGCATTTCACCCTACTGATCTGAAAAAAATACAATGTGGAGTTTTACGTGAAGAAGTATTTTTACATGAAAATATTAATCAAAAAAACAAACTTCGGAATAGTTTACGAAACAGAAAATCAATTGAAAACATGCTGAACTCTTTCCATTGGTTAATGGCTATTAACGAACGGATGGACTGTTATATTTACGTTTCTATGTAGCTGAACGATGCCATTTTACAAATTAAGTCTAAACTTTAATCCCAAATCAATTATCTCAATTTGAAAAAAAGATAACACCTTTATCGAAATTACTTCGCGCAAAACTCTCCCATTCAATAACATATGTTCCTATTTTCTTGCAACTGTTCAATCATTATAGTGCGTTGCACTGTAAACCATATGACTGACAAATTTTTGGTTCATTCATATGAGAATATTATTGAGAAGAAAATTTTCAAGATTGAAATGTTGATTTCAACCATTTGAATCCATTAAAGAGAATCGAAGGATTTCGTATTTCTTCATTTGATGTTAAATATGCTGAACGACATGCAATTTCATTACAAGCTAAACAATGCAATACGGGAATTAAATCATTTTTACTTTCATGTTCTTCTGGTTTCGTTGTAATAAAATAAGAAAATAATGATCGTATAAGATCTTCATCAATAATTATTTCTCCACATCTATATAGATTTCCGTGATATCGGATTAGATCGATACTCGCACAGTCAGTACTCTCCAATAAAATAACTGA